TCCAGCATCTATAAGGAATTTAAACAACTTATAAGACAAAAACAAACAACCCCATTGAAGAGTAGGCAAAGAACATGAACAGACACTTCAAACGAAGACAGACATGCGGCCAACAAGCATATGAAAAAATGCTCAAAATCACTAATCATTAGAGAAATGCAAATCAAAACTACAATGAGATACCATCTCACATCAGTCAAAATGGCTATTATTAAAAAGTCAAAAAATAACAGATGCTGACACGATTGCAGAAAAAGGGGAACACCTATACACTGCTGGTGGGAGTGTAAATTCATTCAAACATTGCTGAAAGCAGTGTGTCAATTCCTCAAAGAACTAAAAACAGAATTACCATTTAACCCAGCAATCCCACTATGGGATATATACCCAAAGGAATATAAATCATTCCACCACAAGGACACACGCATGCCTGCATTCATTGCAGCACTGTTCACAATTGCAAAGACATGCAATCAGCTTAAATGCCCATTAATGGTAGACTTCATAAAGAAAATATGGTATATATACTATGTAGCCATGAAAAAAAAAATGAGATCACGTCCTTTGCAGGAACATGGATAGAGCTGGAGGCATTATCCTGAACAAGCTAACACAGGAACAGAAAACCAAGTACTGCTTGTTCTCACCTTCAAATGGGAGCTAAATAATGAGAACACATGGAGAAACAAAGGGGAACAACAGACACTGGGGCCAATCTGAGGGTGTAGGGTGGGAAAAGGGAGAGGATCAGGAAAAACAACTGTTGGGTACTAGGCTTGGTACATGGGTGATGAAATAATCTCTACACTATAGTCCTATAACATCAGTTGAACTATACGCACACGTATACTTTTGAACCTAAAATAAAAGTTAAAACAAAAACAAGAAAAAGTAGATATGGGAAACTATAGAACCTGAGATTACTATAAATCCAAGGTAAAATTCTAAAAAAGACTATTCCAGATAGCTTATGTACCAATACAAGAGAGACCATCACTAGGAGGCTGTCTAGTTAAGTAAGAAAAAGTAAAAATTAGTTAAGTAAGGATAAGCCTTACTTAAGTTGGCTTAAGATTAAGTAAGGATAAGTCTTACTTAGCTATTTATTACTTCCTTTCTTAATCAGGTTACTAGAAGAGAAAATTTGGAAAATTTGATGATGTGTCTTGATTTTGCCCAACATTTTGCCAAACTCTCAGGATCTCCTATAGACCAGCTAGAGAAATAAGAGTTAGGTAATATCCCACTAAATATGTTTCCAGATAGCTTGAATCAAATCTCAGGTAACTTGAATTAAGCTGGTGTAGACCTATCAGCTGATAAGACTTTATGAACTTATAAATGACACAACACATCAGGTGACTTAACCAAGATTCATAAAGATTTTGGGGAGGTCAATGTGGGCCATACCAAGAAGATGACTTTAAAATAAATTTAAAATTAAAATCATCCCCTTAGGGATGTATATATGTATGTATGGGTTGATTGAAAATAGTTTATGGGGGAAAAGGCTTAGTTAGGAATGTCAAATTATCAAATGCTTGATATAAACCAAATGTGCATGGTATTCTTTCACTCATTTATTCAAAAATATTATATACCAGCTGTAAAAGCACGTTCTGTCTTGCTTTGCATGTAAAAATACAGAATCCAAACCTAGGGCAGTAATGGTGCTGCAGATGCCAGATCCAAAACAATGGATATTGCATTTAGTTTTATAAGACATCTTGGAGAAGAGAATTAACCATCCACATGAGGCCACCAGTTCCAAGGTGGCCCAAGAGTTAAAATAGGATGTTAAAAGGAGGATGACAATCTGTCAAGGCTGATCATCTCAAAGGATAGAAGACTACATGGAGATGTGAAAAATGTCTTTAAATTTCTTAAAGGCTATTGTCTGGAAGCTTTCATAGACTTCTGCTCAGTTCCTTAGGCAGCAGACGTTATAACATCATTAGCTATGAGTTATAGGAAATTGGGTTTCTGCTAATATCATGCAGTGTGTCAGCTCCTTTACCAGACACTAGGTAACTCCTATCTACCAGACACTAGAGATGAACAGGACAAGATCCCCTTCCTCACAGTTGATCCATAAATTCATACTCCACATAGAGAAGTAGCTCCAGACATAAAGGCTCTTCCAACAGTGAGATTCACTAGGAAACTGGATGCCTTTTAACATACTGAGCTCCCATCTCTGGAACACAAAAGAAAAGACATTTCAGGTACTGTTTGAGGGACTGAGATGGGGCTGATGGTAGTTGTGCCTAGCTGTGGTGTTCTGGTAGCTGCCAAGAACTAGGACTCCTATTTACCAGGAGAAGCAAAGGGCTAGCCCAAGGAGTGACTGAGCTGTGTTCCTGGAGGAAAGCAAACAATTAAAGCCCAAAAAGTGGCCCTGAGCATCAGGTACACAAAAGCCACAGTCTATCAACAGGAGAGCAATTCTAGACTCCAAAGAAGAGAAGAGCAAACATAACCAGGATGCGTGGTGTGAGCCTGGGGAAAGTCATCAGTTGGGAACAGCCTGGGAATGCCGGCCAGTTGGTGGCTTGTTGGGAGCTCTCTGTGACCAAGCAGGCTTTGGCCTGGATCAGATGGGCCTGGACAAGACACTGTCAGGGATATTAGAGATGGGGCTTGTGATGGATATCTTCCATTTGCCTCTCTAAGCTCTGCTCACCAGTCTTCTGTACCCTGTGTGGATCTACGAAGTTGACCTACATCACTTGCATCTATGGAATCCTCACCCTCTGGACCCAGTTTGGTTTAGATAACAGCTAGAGCAGTGGTTTGGAGTCCTTGAAGAGGTCCTTCACATCCCTTGTTAGCTGAGAACAGCTAGAGATTAAAGAGCTGGGAAGAGAGAGGGGTTAGAATCCCCCTGCTCCCTGCTTGCCTCGCTGTGGGGCCACCTTGGGATTGCTGTTTTTCTTAGCTGAGGGTCACAGCTCCTCTTAAAGTGTCCCTGTTTATGTAGCTTTTTCTTCCAGGATCCAGCAGCCACTCCCTGCCCTCTACCCTCTAAGCCTAGAAGGTGGTAACAGCTCCACAGTTTCCAGCTCTAGGGTACTGCGCTATCTCTTAGGGGCCTCTTACATCTTGTCCATCTTATTTAGATGCTTCTTAGATTATACTAATGTGAATGTGTCTTCTGTTTCTTGGTTGAACCCTGGCTGATACAGAATTCTGGATGGAGTAAGAAGATGGACTAGATTATTTCTAAGAATTCTTATGCTTCTAGAGATCTGGATTTCTTGTCACTGATCTTATATTTTTGCATACCTGAGTGATGAGGATTAAATTTCCGCACCCAGAAACTCACAGCAAATATTTCTGTAGCACATATGAAGTTAATCTAGAGACTTGTGATTTGGCTTAACCACATATATATTTTATTATTTTTAAAAGAATTTGTGTTTTCAGTATGAATTGCAGATCATAGTCTCAGTTGCTCACACTAGGTCTCTAAGGTCAGGTAACATCTTTATTGGTGTCATGTAAAAGAGCCAAAGGGTACTTAAACTGGCCAAGCAACTACTGTTCAGACTTCGGAAATTTCATAAAACAGCTGAAGTTAGTCTTCAATATACCTTTCATAAATAAGTTGCTCAGCCACACTGTGATACTTCCTGGGAAGACCGAGTAGTTAAGCCTCCTCATAATGATGCTCTTCGAAGGATATCCCAGAACCTCAAGAAAAGAATCAGGAGACCACAGGCCTGCATGACTGTGAAGCACATGACTTCTGAGTCTTATAAGCTATAGAAGGCAAATTGTCATCTGTTGTGAAGATCATTGCTATTTGACTCAGAATAAGAGGGTTTTGTTTTTGCTTGGTTTGGTTTTGAGGCTGTCTTACTTCTAAGGAGTCATTATCTTTTAGAGATACACAGTGAGATGTTTGTGAATGAAATGATATGACAGGTCTGCTTTGCAGTGATACAGAGAGGGGGAAGAATAGGTGGGAGCAGTCACAACACGATTCACAGTGAGTGAATAACTACTGAAACTGGGTGGTGGAGATGTGAGGTTCATTAGACTATGCTCTCTATTTTTGTGTGGTTTTGGAATTATTGAATATTAAGAGTTGTGTGAATAGACAGTTAAATAAAAGGTGACTTCTTCCTACAGGGAAACTCATTTGTTGTTGCTTGGTGCCCATGGTGTGATGCAGAAGCTCTGTATGTAGGTTTCAGAAACATAACAAGAAAAAACACTGAAACAAAATATAAATGAGGAATGCTATTTTTTTGTGTGAAAGTTTACCCAAACCATGCTCAATGGAAAATATCAAGATGTTATTATTCAGGATGTACATTTAGAGTATCTTTCATGTGAACTTTGCTGTATGGACTTTGCTTCTAAATAACTTGGGGTAAAGGAGAACCAGGTAAGTTACAGATGAAATAAGGTTGGTTGTGAGTTAACATTTCTTCAGTTTTGGGAGAAGGATACATGGGAGTTCATTATACTATTTGTTCTACTTTTGTATATGCTTTAAATTTTCCATAGAATTATTTTTAAAAATTAAACCTAGACTGGGTGTGGTGGCTCATGTCTGCAATCTCAGCACTTTGGGAGGCCAAGGTGGGCGGATCACGAGGTCAAGAGATCGAGACCATCCTTGCCAACATGGTGAAACCTTACCTCTCCTAAAAATACAAAAATTAGCCGGGCATGGTGTGTGGGCCCAGCTATTTGGGGGGCTAAGGCAGAAGAATTGCTTGAATCCGGGTGGCGGAGGTTGCAGTGAGCGGAGGTTGCAGTGAGCCGAGATTGCACCACTGCACTCCAGCCTGGCAACAGAGCGAGACTCTGTCTCAATAAAATAAAAAAATAAATCAAACCTATACTGCACATCCAAAACATGGCCACTTTACATTAAGAAAGTATAAACTTTCAGGATTTTGTGAAATGTAATATTACCTTATTTCTCTTTCACCTCCTTGTATTTTGTGTTTTCCAGTCCATTTCTTTTCTCTTCCCCCACCCTATAGTTTTGTCTGTTGTATGGAACCAAGCTGGTGTTTCAGGAGCGGGCCTGGTATTTAGAACATAAATACTTGACTTCTGTGGCCAGCACGAGGATCAGGAATCAGGTAAGGACCCTGGGGTACAGAAAAACCCTTTGTACATCAGCTCTGGGCTCTGCTTTCATAGAAAACAGTCCTGCCAATCTTCTATCAGTTTCCACTCATGGATTTTTATGCCTCTGGGACTTCACATATATGTTTTCATTACCTATCATGATCGTATTACACTTCAGAGTTTAGGTGACAAGGGAATGACTCACTGTACATGAGCTTTCTAACATGAAAAGGAGAGGAGGGTGTCAAAATGTTTTCCTTGTCCTGGCAAAAAAAAAGTATTAATGATTTTTTTCTGCTGCGTACCAAAGCCTATTAACACATTCTTCATATTAAGAAGAAAGAGCCATGATACTTTTATGTCAGTGGTAGCCATGGGGAATTCAGTACAATAGCTACGGAGCACCTGAAAAAGAAGGTGAGGCCAGGATTCACCACTACAATGCTACTCCAAAGAAAAAGAATGTGAAACAGCATACTCATCAGTAAAACACATTTCTGATTACATCCTTTATGCAGGAGAGATGCTGAAACACAAACAGGTATAAGACTAAGTCTCCACATAAAGGGAGCTCATATCCGAGGACACAAACCCAACTTTAAAAACATAAATACTGGCCTGGTGCAGTGGCTCACACCTATAATCCTAGCACTTTAGAAGGCTGAAGTGGGTAGGTCTCCTGAGCTCAGGAGTTTGACACCACCCTGGGCACACGGTGAAACCCTGTCTCTACTAAAATACAAAAAAATTAGCTGGGCTTTTGTGGCACGTGCCTGTAGTCCCAGCTACTCCAGAGGCTGAGGCACGAGAATCACTTGAGCCCCAGAGGTGGAGGTTGCAGTGAGCTGAGATCACGCCACTGCACTCCAGCTTGGGCTACAGAGTAAGACTCTGTCAAAAAAAAAAAAAAAAAAAAAAAAAAAAAAAAAAAAAAAAAAAAAAAAAAAAAAAAAAAAAAACTCTCACAGAGTCATGGAGGTTTTTGAACTCATAAGAATAAATTCAGAGTTGACAGAACAGATGTCTTAGGAATGAATGCCATTCTTATGCTAGACCTTGAAGAATAGAAAATTAAGACAAAGTGGAGGTGGTAGTCCAACTGAGAGGGGAAAATGCACTTGAAACTTCAGACAGTGTTGATAAAGTGAGCACGATTGTAGAAATGGAGTACTTAGACATATTAAGAAACAATAAAGACTTTACCTGTCTAATGGAAAACCTGGAGAAGTCTGTGGGAACCAGACTACAGTGGACCCTGGAGAAACTCGAAGAATCTTTTTCCTTTTCAGGGAAACAGAGATTATAGAGAAAAGCATATGTAATGATGCTTCAGTACTGTATTTCTATATAACAAATGACTCCAAACTTATGACTTACAACCACCACCACTTATTATTTGTCTTGGTCCATTTTTTGCTGCTGTAACAGAATACCATAGTCTGGGTAATTTATAATGAAAAGTCATGTATTGCTTACAGTTCTGGAAGTTGGAAAGTCTAAGGTCGAGGGGCCCACATCTGGCAAGGGCCTACGTGTAGTCCCATCCCATGGAAGGGAAGGGCAAGAGAGGGCGAAAGCAAGGGAGAAGGAAGGGAGGGGTTGAACGTATTCTATTAGGAACCCACTCCTGAGATAACAGCATTAATCCATTCATGAGGACAGAACCTTCATGGCCTATTTGCCTTTTAAAGGTCATACCTCTCATCACTGTTACATTGGGAATTAAGTTTTCAACACACAAACTTTGGGGGACACATTCAAGCCATAGCATCATTTCTCATGATTTTGCATTCTAGACAGAGTTCAGCTATTAACAGCTATTCTTCTGCTCCATGTGGTGTCTGCTGGGGCTAAGTGTTCACAATGACTGCTTTACTCATGGCTGGCACCTCAGCTAGGATGACATGAAACTCAGCCAGGATGACAGGAACAGATGGGCAATTGTCTCCTTCCAGGTAGCCTAGTTTGGACTTATGCACAGTAGACTAGTCTCAGGGTGGTCAAATGTTTCATTTGATGGCTTCCAGGAAGGAGAAAGTGGAAGATGCCAGTCTTCTTAAAGGATAGGCCCAGAACTAACATAGTGTTACTTCTACTGAATTCTGTCAGTCAGAGGCAGTCACAAATGCCAGCACAGATTCAGAGCTGGAGGAGAGACTTTGCTTCTGGATGCATGCACATGCTGGGAAGGGAAGAATTGATGGCAGCTATCTTTGGAGACTATTTCCCACAAAGAGAGTGCCTACTTTGGGAAGATAGAAGAATGCTTTTTATTTAAAGAAAAAAAAATACATAAGGGAAGATTTTAAATCTGTGCCACCAGGTATTTCAGTGACACAGAATTAGATAAACAGTACATCAGAGGAATATTTAGTGGGGGAAATAAACTTTCATATAAAACACTGAAGTGCTTTTGTATATTTTTTTTTTTTATTTTGAGATGCAGTCTTGCTCTGCCACTCAGGCTGGAGTGCAGTGGCGTGATCTCAAAGTGGCGTGAGGCAACCTCAGCCTCCCAGGCTCAAGTGATTCTCTTGCCTCAGCTTCCTGAGTAGCTGAGATTACAGGCACCCACCACCACACCCGGCTAATTTTTGTATTTTTAGTAGAGACAGGGCTTCACCATGTTGGCCAGGCTGGTCTCGAACTCCTGACCTCAGGTAATCCATGGCCTCAGCCTCCCAAAGTGCTGGGATTACAGGCATGAGCCACCACTCCAGCCTGCTTTTATGTTCTTACAGTGCAACATGCTTTCCACACTTCTCACTTACTGGATCCTCTTAACAGCCTGGGGGATAAGCAGGCAGGAGCCAGCCACTTTGGAACAAGCTTTATCTGTAAGGCTGTAGGACATCTGAAAGCCTTCTTTGTCACATCGCTGATCTGCCAACCTTGAGCATTCATTCCCTTTGCTGGTGTCCCCAAAGGGGAGAGGATAGTGGAGTTGGCACAAATCCTTCCTTTCCCACTGCCACAGCACTTCTTTGCAGGGATCTCAAGCCTTTAGAGAAATGATTAGCAGCCATTCTTCACAAAAAAAGTATCTGGAACTTTTGGTCAACTGAAAGTGCTAAATGAGAGTGTGCTTGCAAAGAAGGTTAGAGGGGACTGGGTTGATTGGCATTACTGACAGGGGTCCAGTTTTCACATGATAGCTCTCCACATTTCTTGATTGTTTCTTCAGATGCATCTAACATTCTGGTTACCCCATCCCCCCAATTTTTAATTCCAATTGTTATAATTTTTATTTTTAAAAAATTTTCATATCATACATGTTACTTTTTCATATCCTATTCCCCAAAGATATATTCAATATTGTATTTTGTTTTTTATACTTCAAAACTCAGCTGTTTTATAGCCTGTAGCTAACAATTCCAATACCATAAAATCTTTACAAGTCTATTTCTTTTTGTCTCTTGTTTCTTCTATGTGCCTGGTTATCTTTTATTGTGTGTTGGTCATTTGTTTTGAGAAATAATGTGTAAGATATACATGAAGGCCCAATCGAAGGTAACTTTCCTTTGAAAGGCCTCTGAAAACATTCTCAGTTTGACACCCACCTTAAACCAAATTAAAGGCTTGAGGTTTTCTGGAAGACTCAGATACTCAAATTAAGGGTAGGAATTTTTTTACCCTCCCCATGGAGATATAGCTCTTTGACCTTACAGTTTATCATGGCGAGGGTCTGCTGTTAAATTTCTTACTTAATGCTGACCCTGGTTTTTGACTACTATTACCTCCTCTCCCCTCCCTGACCACCATCAAGTTGTCAATGTGAAAATTCAGATTTTCTGGAAATGGCAAATACGTTCAGGGAAAATGCAATTTTCTTGTTTATTTCTCTGGGTTCCCACATACATTTTGGCTTTATTGTTTTGTCAGATCATTGATGCTTTGAAGATATTTCCTGTATTTTCTTCAAATATTTTAGTTGTTTTCTGCAGAAAAGTTAGAAAAAAAAATCTAGACCTCTATTCTCATAAATAGAAAGTTCCTTACACGTTATTCTACATGACCCCACAACAACCTGGTGAATAATTTTCATTACTCTTACACGTAGATGAGAAAACTGAGGCCCAAAGTTGGCAAAGTAATTCACTCAAAGTAACACAGCTATTAAAAACTCCTATCTCTCTGACTGCAAACACTTTCATTCATTTTATTTGGATAAAAATCAGCATCAGAACAACAACCACACCCAGCACCCAGTTCTTGGTTTCTAGCACCATCCTCCAATAAAAGGAACAGGGCCCTTGGAGAAATGGCTGATTTTAGGGCTGGGCAGTGAATATACAGGCAGTGAAGATGAGCCTGGAGCATCTTCTAATGTCAGAAAGTAAGAAAGTGTTTGGAAAACAAATAAACAAAAGCCTGCGATGATGGCAGTATGTTCATGGGACACAGGAAGGAGCCAACTGAAAGAGCTCCCTCCCAGTGGCCAAGGTTGGAACAATTTGAGCAACAAAATAATGTAATATTGGGGGTTATAACTCCAAGCATGTAGTAATTAAGCCCAAGTCCATAATGATATGAATAAATGATTAAACAAATAAATAAATGGGGAAAAGACAAGTCTTCCTTGCAGAAGAATCCCAAATAATATGTGTAGCTACTTCTCCCTCCATAAGGTGAAGCTTAATTCCCCTTCTCTTTAGTGTGGGTTGG